CCCGCTTAACGCTGTTTCGTTTAGTGCTGTTTCGGTTTAGCGCTCTTTTATTTCAACCCGGGGATTCTCCGAAAGTGTGCGCAGCGCTAGGTTTCCAAATAACATATCCAAAACACTGTAGATGTGTTTCTTGCTTGGTGGACGCATTTTTATCATTTGAAACATTTGTTGACATTATTGTAAGTTTAAATTTGTATAATACTATAACGATTAATACAGTGACAAATATTATGATCTTTAGTTTTAATCATGGGTGATAATAAAAAACAAGAAAAGAAAGCAACCAGAAAAAGCATTTCACTGGAAACTCAAATGCAAGTGATTAGAAGATTAGATTCTGGTGAACGTCAATCTCAAATTAGTGCTGCATTGATTTTGGCAACTTCAACAATAAGGACAATTCTTAAGAATAAAGAAAAAATACTGTCATCGGCAACTGCAACTACGTCAAGCTCTGCAACTAGAATTACCCGTTCTAGAAATAACATTATAGAGGAAATGGAAAAACGACTGTCTATATGGATTGACGACGAAATTGAACGCAATATGCCATTAAGCCAATCTATTTTAATGCCTTCTTAACAAAAAGGCAGAAAATTGGAAACCCAGAATAGACTGAATGATCTGACTGAGAATTTTATTTGTTTTTAAAAGTATATGCGTTTATATTGTTTTTATTTTTGTAAGAAATAAATGTTTGATTTTATTTTTATTAAAAAAAAGCATTATTAAATTTAATGCCTAACCATTTTTTATCCGTCTTCCCCTAACCCCATTATTTACATGTTAAGACAGCCTCGCTTAGCGCTGTTTCGCATTACGCTCTACTTCGATGGAACGTACTGTACCTTAGACTGCTCAGTCTTCCTGTTATCTGATTTTTCAACTTTCCCCGCTTGCCGATATGAATTCTTTTGAGCTTGAAGTTTCTTCTGAGGAGGAAACCTTGAATACTGGTGAAAGCTGCCTGCACTTGTGTTTTCCACTGTTCGTCTGCTCTGAAATTTTACTGCTAATTGGAATAAGTTCTCTAAAATCTGCAGGTTTCTGACTTCAAGAAAGTCCTGAATTGACGGAAGTATACATGGCAGAATGACTTCAATAAGTTCACTGTCCATCCTTTTTCCCTATGTTAAATTAAATATCTGAATCTTCCTAAAGATGAAGTTCATTAACTCATCAAAATTAGTTTGATACTTGCTAAACAGTTCTGACTCAAGCTTCACACGGTGTTTAATGACTGGGAATGCTTTCAATAACACTGTTTTAAATTTTTCCCAGATGTAAGTTTCCAAACCTGGATCTCCCAACAGAAACTTACCAATTCCTTTGAACCAACTGAGAGCTTGGCCTTTAGATTTACTGTAGTGATGGTAATTTTATGCCGCTGGTTCACTGGATATAACGTGAAATGTAATTCCAGCTACTCAAGAAAGTCATCGCCGAGCTTTTGCCATCAAATGTTGTGGCTGGCTTCATGGCTGCTCCCATCGTTTCTACGATGAACCTGAATTCCTCCATCAGGTTTGCTGGAGGTTGAGAGACTTGAAAGGTTGGAGGGGTCAATGAGAAGTTCTCGTTCACTGAGGGCATACTTCGTTTGGAAAGCTGCGAGCACCGCATGTGGGGTTCCAACCTTTTATCTAACAGCTAAATGTGCAGCAACCTCGTGAACAGATAAGCGAATAATCGCTTGACTTTGGGAACAGAGACGTTAAACTCAAGAAGGGTTAATTACCCTTTACTATTCAAAATAAGAATGTACAGTCAGCTCCGTTCTCAAAGCGTACAGCAGAGCCTCCACTTGGACTTGAACTCAAAGCAATAAGAAATAAAACTTAACTAAAAGATATAGCCAAAGCTATCAAAAAAAAAAAAAAAAAATTCTAAGTAGTGGGCCCCTAAATATCAAATAAGCTGATGAAGCTATCAATGGCCTGAAATGCGGCCAATTGTAATACAGTCAAAAGTCGTTAATTCGGACACCCATAATCCAGAATGATCTATAATCCGGACCTCAAAGCTACAAATTTTCTGCGCATGCGTCTCATTGACCTTTACGCGTAAGACCTTTACGTCTGCGAATATAGGTTTGCACATGCGCAAAATACGTTTACGAATGCGTGTTTAATGTATAACGGACGGTATAAGGTAAAAATTATCTAATTCAGTTAATGTTGCAGATTGCGTTGTTCCTTAATCTTCGAATTGGATCCTGCTTATTATTTTTTCGCAGACTGTTAGAGCAATTTTATAAAAGTAAGCTTGAACTTTCGATTATGTCAAATAGAATTTCTGATATATAGTTACTAATATGTAAAAGATCTACAAAGCGAAAGTATGTTTCGAAGTCCATTAAACAAACAGTGGAATTGCTGCAAAAAAATGGATAAAGGCATATCCTGTGTTTATTTAACAATTCCGAAATCTGTTTATCAATTTCACGCTGCTCTGCGGCGGGGGAGGGGGGACGCCTCGGCGCGCGATGAATTGGAAGTTGATCTGTCAGCACTATCCTTATTTTCAGGGCAGATGTTTTTATTTTATTTGGCTTATAATTCCTTATTAAATGTAGTATTTTATCTTGATGTACTCCGTCTTTGATATGATTTAAATCAAATTCCTCGTCATTATAATTCGCTTCCGATAGCGAAGAAAGTAACACAGATGTTATTGAAAATGAAAAAATTTCGATTGACAAATTAGTCGGTATTCTTGACACAGCAATTATAGGACTTGAACAGCGGAACTTTGTAACTGAACAAGAAATTATGTCTGTTTATAGAATTAAAGAGAAAGTATTATCACATAAAAAATGAAGCAATTTAAACAACTTACATTGAAAGAAATGTTTATTAATAAAGTAAACAAATAAATATTAAGCTTTTTTTTGTAAATTTTTGATCTAAAGGGTATCTTTAGATCATAATTGTTCTTTATTTCATTAATTACGATTTCATATTTTTAATTTTATAATTTCTGCATGCCATCTTACCAGATTTAAACTGATGATCTATAATCCGGAAAATCAATAATCCGGAATCGCCGAAGTCCCGACGAGTCCAGATTAACGACTTCTGACTGTAATAGCTTAGAAAGAGATGTAGCGAAAAGGCGAATGTGTGCCAGTCAGAGACTCTGGCTCTCTCACGAAGTCAGTGGAACTTCGACTTAATTACCACTCATACTCATTTGCATTAAACACAATTCTAGAAACACGTTCTGGTAGGAAATTGTAAGTTGAAATCAGGAAGGATATGAAAGTAGCTTTAACTAAAGATAACTGTTAAAAACTTAGGATAAACCTTACAACATATAACTTGATTATGTAGTGTATAATAGAGCACTTTATGTTCTGTAATATATTATTGCTAGAAGAAAGAATATGTATTGTTCTACAGTGTCTTCTGGCTGGATAGCTCTATTTTTTTATACTTTTCTCTGGATCCTTTTTTTTTAACCAAATCCCAGTTTTGTTAAATGTTATTATTATATTTTCTAAATTTATCTGATTTTAGAGGATCACTCATTTAGGTCCATCATATTTATCATGGCCAATAAATGCCGAATGCCTGGCATTAGAGATCCTACAAATCAAAACTTTTGCCCTGCTCCAGTTTTTATGGAGAACCCTCCAGGGGACAGATTCAGTGATCTTCTTTCCTTCCTTTACAACAAAACTTTCAAGAAAACAAGTATATTTTAAGTGCTTGTATGTATTATTCATTTATAAACATCCTTTCCTTCTCCAAGATTTGAGCCCGTGTCCAAGGCTGTAACAGCCAGCTTTTCTATTACTTTGCATTTGGCATTACTATTATTATTTTGGAGATTATTATATGTTTTCGAAGACATATGGTGGATTAATGGTTGGCATTTTGGAAAGATCAGAGAAATGAAGTATGACAAACTTCCATTGATTAAACCTGGTGTACTGAGATTAGGTTCTTTATGAGATACAGAAGATTAACAGATAATTTGCATCAGAACAGTTAAATTGTGGCATGAACTTTGCCCTTTCCTTTTTTCTGGCATTACTTACTGAATGTCACAAAACAATAATATTGCCTTGCAAGGGAGTTTCCTCCTTCCTTATCATGTGCCTTCATGGTGTAATTGAAAGCACATCTTGGATAGCAGTCCTGAGTTCCAGAGTTTGAATCCCAGCATAATTGTTCTGATTTTTCTTGTTTCCTGATAAATACCTAATCACTTTCAAATCAGTGTAACAGCAGTGTGATCTCATGTCTTGTACATTGATATACACTGAAATATATAAAAATCATAAATAGTTAATTATTCTCAAAAATATTTTAGCCACAGCATCAGAATATTAATGATGGTACAGTTAAAGGCACAAGAGGCAAAAATTTGGAACATTCATTGCTAATGGGAGAAAGAGGATCAGCAGTGACACCTAAACTTTGTATAATTTATAAAGAATCTTTTGGTAAATGTGTACGAGCAATGACCATGGGTATCCAGTAATACCATTATATTGGTACTGTATTTTTCAGAGCAGGAAATTTAAAAGATAAGCTGCATCCTCCCTTGAAATCAAACCACAGATCTTTCTGTGCTAGTCCATTGCATTATCCGTTACACCACAAGAACATATGGAGAAAAGTGTGTTAAGGGAGGGGAAATGAGACCCATTTGCCTAATTCAAGTGATAAGATTATTTTCCCACTATATTTTTACTTTGGCACCATTGTAAAGCTTTAATAAGAAATATGATTATAAAGAAATATGGATTGACTTGCAGTACAAAAGCATATAATGCTTAAAGGAAAAATTCCTTATAATATTTTAAAATTAATGAAATTGTGGTTAAAGTTTTAAATAACATCCATAAATTTATAATAAAGGGAGGGATCATTAAGTTGTAAACGCGTTGTTTTTCAACATCATTTTCATGCCTTTTTTCTACTTTCAATTTAAAAAATGTCAGAGTATAGTTTTTGATATATGTTATGTATGTGTATGTATATATGTTACAGATTCATGTTAAAAGTCATGATGGAGAGAAGTGCTTCAAATGTGATTTGTGCAATTACGCTTCTACTACTCAGAGACATTTAGAAACTCACATGTTCATCCATACAGACCAGAAACCTTATCATTGTGATGAATGTGAACAATGCTTCAGACAGAAACAACTCTTAAAAAGGCACAAAAACATATATCACGATCCTAATTACGTTCGACCTGAACCTAAAGAGAAGACTCATATCTGTAGTCTATGTGATAAATCTTTTCGCCATAAGGTAATTTTTCCTAAAAAATTTTCAAAGTGCCTATGTTAAATTTGCTTTTTTTTTTTTTGTTTTAATTATTATTGGTTTAGATTTTTTAAAAAATTATAGATATTATTTGTAAATTAAAATTTATTCACTTATAAAATGGATGCATTTATCATAGTTGTAAAAAAAAATGGCTATTTCTCCTGGGTTTATTGGGAGCAAAGAGAGTCGTGATTTTTCCATTTGATCTCCTTGTCTTCCATTGCATTACAGAATAACCCGGCTTTTAATTTTTACCTTTACTAAGAAATACGTTCCTAACAATAAAAGAAATTAATGAATTAATGAAACTTAAATTGTGAAAATTTCATTCCACCCCTAATGGTTTTAAGCATGATTTAACTGACGTTTAATTAATTAAATATTTGTATTTAATTTTTTAAACCTCTTTAACTAATGCATTACTAAGTTTTAGTGTGCAATAATATGTCATAATTACCAACTCTTCTGGTTTTTTGTTGCATATCCTGCCCCTCGCTAAATCACTGAATCTCCCAGGTTTTAATTTTTAGTCTGCACTAAGGATAGTGTTTTTTTATCAATAAAAGAAATTTATTAAGTTAATAAAAAATTGTGCAAATTTCATTCCACCACCTTGAGTGATTTTTGGTGTAATTTTTATTAAATTTTATTTAATCTGAATTGTCTTAATCTATTGTAAACATTTGTAGATTTTTATATGAAAATTTAACCAATGTTTAATCTGTTAATATTTGTATTTAATTTTGTTTCTCATCAGATATAGTGCATTAATAAGTTTATCCACTCAACAGTATGTACATTGAGATATTAATTTTTACTTTCATCCTATTTAAAAATACTTTGTGAAATTAAAAATTGAATTTTACCTTCTCTATTGAGGATTTTTTTCAGAATAAAAATTTAAGAAAATTACAAAATGAAATTAAGTTAAAGAACATATAATTAAATTATCTAAGGAATCATAATGTAAATAACTGAATAACCTGAATCATGTGCTGTAGAAATTAAATCCATTTTGAGTTCTTTTGAAAATATGTACACATGCAATGTAAAAATCAGAAACTCCTGGTTTCTCATATGTAAAGGTTGGCAGCTGTGGTATGCACATAAATTATCAAACTTTAGTTTTCATCTTGTTTAAAAGTTCTCCAAATAAACCTGTTTTCTTTCCTACTCTGAGCTTCCTTAATATAAAGTTATGAGAATAAAAAAAAAAAAAAAAAAAAAAAAAAGTAAAGTGAAATTAAGCAAAGAACGTAAAATATAGAATATCAAATTCAGTATTAATTTATTTTATATAAAACCATGTTATAAATAATTCAGTAGCCTGAATGATTTGTAATAAAAAGAATTTAAGTCAGTTTGAAGTTCTTTTGAAATTGTATCATCTTTGTTCTTGCAAGGTTTTCAAGCAGTGCAAAGACTTTGCAGGAACTCTTGGTTTTGTGCGAGAAATTCCATTTTTTCATATTTCAATTTTGGCATCTATGATTTATACATGCTTATTTTCCAACATTTATGTAAAATTAGATGTACATTTATTTGTGTTTGTTTTCTGCTAGGAAATTTTTAAAGTAGGACTCGTGATTTTTTTGCCTTCTATTCCACTGTTCATATATTAATAGCATGTTGTTATTTTTATTTTTCCAATATGTTATAGTGATTCTTTAGTTTATGCAGAATCATTAGTAATCATGTGTTCTGATTTAAATACAGGTGTTACTAGATATGTATAATTTTTAATTCTTATTTCTAAATAATTTTTCTCTTAAATAGCTGTTAAGAAAATTTCTCTTGAACTCTTGTTTAAATTAATTATGTATTTAAAGCAGTATCTGTTTCTTCTGCCACTTCATGAAAATAGCAGCAAAAATTATTAAGAAATGGCATTATTATCTTTTTAATAACCTGTGACTCGGCAGATATATGTAGTTTTCAGATCAAAAATATTGTTGTGCTGTTTGGAATAAATCAAAACATAACTGATTTCAATTATCTTCATTGTAAATCAGCTCTTATTTTTTAGACCATTAGAAATTATAGTACTGTAGTGCTTTTGTTATTGTTGTTGTTATGTCAAGTTTGCTGGTTCACATATTCCATGATCAGTATTTTAGCAGCCACTGTAAAAGGCCCCAATAGCTAAAAATCTGTAGAAACTATAGTGGTATCCTAGTTGTCCATATCACATTGAATATTTTCACCCCAGACATAATACACTATAAAAATTAATTTTTATTTCATTACCAAATATGTGTACTGCTCTTTGGGAGCGGGTCTCTATTCTCCCTCTGTGCTTCTCCCAAAACTTCTCCTTAGGTTTGGTGTATTTACTGGCAATAACATGGGCTCAAGGAGAACTCTTTCGCTATCACCAGAGTTTCCCACATTTCTTTTCATGGCAGCTCAAATAAACATCATCAGATTATGAAATATTTCAGAGGATCTGTGCTGTCAAGTCCTCCTCCTTAATAGCAAAATTAGCATGTATAACTAGGAGAGATCAATATGTGACAAAGCAAATTTCAAGAAATTTTTTAATTGTAATTTATAAATATCACTAAATTTCTTTTGGAAGTGAACATATCTTACCGATCTTGTGACAGTTTGTCTCCTAGACAGTTCATTAGCAGATTCATTCTGTTGAACTGTCTTTAAGTTTTTGTTTGATTTCAGTTCAGGCAAAATAGAGTCCAAAAGCAAATAGGCTTGATTTACGCAGTCTAAACACGCAGTAGATTTAAGGTTGTTTGTTTGAGTAGTGAAAATTATGCCCATTCTGGTAAGGACTTTGTGTGAACCTGAGTATGGCTGGCACAACAGTGGCTTTACTCAACTGATACGTAAGTATACATGTGTATGCAATTTTAAGTTAGATCTTACATAATACAGTACAAAGTTCGAGATCCAAAGGATCTAAAATTCAGACCTCAAAGCTACCAACAACCTTTTTTTTTTTTCTTTAAATGCTTTACACATGCACACTTGATTTTCTTTCCCCTATAATAAAACATGGAGAGTCCCGATTATTCAGTTCACTAAATAAAATTCTTCATTATTGAAAAAACAATCATTTTAGCATAAATTTGTGTGATCAATAATTCATTTATTTTACATCTTCTAATATTTTATATACCTGATGCCAATCTGGCAAATCATTATTTGTTATATTTTGCTTTCATAACCTCATGTTTATCCAACACATGACTACTTCAATAATGACTCAGTGATGCCAAAACTATTTTATATGTAATTATTAATTGAATAACAAAGATTATATTAGCCTTTTCTGTTGACATTAAGCTTGGCAAAGATTACAGATTTAAGTTAAACACTAAGAAATATTGACGAGGAAAAATTTAACAAACATTTCTTTTCATATGCTAAAAATAGATTTTGTTAATGATACTCATAGGCCAAAAGATTGCATTTAGTGCTATTTGAATTATAAATAGCTGATTTTAGTGCTATTTGAATTATAAATAGCTGATTTGTTATTCATATAAACCACCAGTTGAGAACCCCTGGTCTATAGAATTAAAGAAAAAGCATTAGAACAAAAAATGAGCAAGTTAAACAACTTGCATTGAAAGAAATGTTTAATAAAATTAATTAATATTAAGCCTTTTTTTTTTTTTTTTTTTTTTTTTTTTTTTGTAAATTTTGATACCCTTTAAATCATAAATGCTTCATTAATTCATAAATTACAATATGATATTTTTAATTTTATAATTTCTACATGCCATTTTACTAGACTTAAACTGATGATCTAATATCTAGAAAACTCTGGAATCACAGAAGTCCTGACGAATTCAAATCTCAGACTGTGTACTATACGTATCTTGACAATGAGCAGATGTCGCTATTGCGTTCAGTTGGTGCATTCTGTGCCAGAGATTAATGATGAATTGAGTGTCACATGAAGATATCTTAGATGGGATTATCGTATTGCTTGGCAACCTGAGAGTTGTTCCGTACACCATTTCTGTGCAAGATGTCTGCAGATCCTCCTTACTGGCTATTCAAATACCAAGCAGAATAACTTGGAGTGTTTCAGTCTAGTTATTTGTCTCTTGACCCTCAAGAGAGCATTTTTAATGTCAATGAAATCATTTGGCAATGCCATTTGACATTGAATTATAGACTGTTGTTGTGATTTCATATGTATTCAAAATGTGTTTTAACTCTGCAAACATTGAGGATCTCATTTGAGAACCTTGGTTTATTGTTATAACCAATGAGCTGCCAAAGTGAGATATCCATAAGTTGAATATAGCTCTACAAATAGTTTCTGTTTTCATATCAGGGATAAGTATGGCTTCAGGCCATCTGAAAAATCTATTAAAGTTAAAAGGTACATGTTATCTTCTGATGGCGATAACAGGCCAAGCATGTCCATCTGGATTTCTGAAAAACATGCATGAGGAAGAGAGAATGTACCCAGTGGTTTGATTATGTTCAATCTCTGCCAAGATTAACAGAATTTTATCCAATTTTTACTTCCTTGTATGAAGTAAAGGAAGTATTGTAATTGTAAAAAATTTCAGGTATCATATTGCAACAAAAATATTTATTTTAATCACTCTCATGTCCAACTGAATGATATTTTTGCATGACATCTGTATGTGCGGACAGAATAAAAGTCTCTTTTTCCCAAAATGGATTCAGAAGAGACTTTTTTTCGTGTTGTCTGTGCATATGTACGTATGTATCTCGCATAGCTCACAAACAAGTAGCCTCAGAATGTTGAAATTTCATATATGGGTCTGCAATAACATGTAGTTGTACATCTCCTTTTTTGGTTGCAATCGGCCACACCAGAAGTATATATATATATAGGCTCGGTGAGCTGAGTTTTTTTATTATTATATGCTGGTAAATTGTGCATTTTTCCCTTTAAAAGTGATTAAATTGTATTGTTCTTATGTTCCAGTTAAGGTTTTTATGCCTTAAGTTAATTTGCATGTAATAGTTGTAGAATTATCAACAATTTAAAAATTGTTATGTTTTACTAAGTCTAACAAGGATTAGTTTGCATTTGAAATTTAGCAAAATAGTGAATTTATGCACCTTCGATGTCTTTTTGCCGAGTGGGATCAAAAGTAAACTTTCAGTTTTGTGCACCGAAAAATCTGCGCTTGTTTTTGCCTAGAAACTAATTTATTTGTATTTTAAAACTGTTTTAACCGTATTTGGTGTTTTATGTTTTTCTATATTTTTCAATTTTTAATGAAGATGTATCGTTTTTTTTTTTTTTTTTTTTTTTTGTATTTTTGTATTTTTGCCTTGCTGCGAAGTGATAACACTATTAATTGAATGAGTATATCTCTAATGAAGTTTGGGTGAAATGCTGCAAAAAGTGTGTATAATTTAATAGGCCATACAAGGAAGTCATGTATTGTCCACGTCAGATTTTTAATAAGACATTTCATATTGGGCCATACATAATGAGAACAGTAGCTGCAGTTCCTGGATGTTGTAGGTTATGCAGATAATTAAAGATGAGTCTGCAAAAGGAATTCAGAACAGATAGCCAAGGAATATCTGTAGAGATGTAGCAAAGAATATTACCATCAGACTATTTGCACGGCTTGAATTCCAGCTTCAAAGATGACGTATTGTTTCTGGGAATGTTTTGTATCTCCGGATCATGACATTGAGCTTCGGAAAACTTTTCAAAATCCAAAAGGTGAAGATTTTGTAATGGAATCAATTTTGATTATTGGAAGAGTATCAGCAATGACGTTTTTAGAACCTTGAACCTAACATTAGTAGAATACTGAGAAATAAAATCTAAATGGTGTAATTGCCAAGGTGAACGTTTGTGGGAGTTCTGCGTAAAAGTGTATACAATACAAAGTCCGTAATCCGGACGTCCATTATCCGGAATGATCTATAATCCGGACCTCAAAGCCACAAACTTTTTTTTGTATGCTTTACGCATGCACATTTAATGTATAACAGATGGTATAAGCTAGGCTAAAATTATCTTTACTGATTCTAAGGCATTTCAGTTAATGTTGCAGATTGCACTGTTCCTTAATCTTCTAATTTGATCCGGCTTATTATTTTTTGCAGACTGTTAGAGCAATTTTATAAAAATTAAGCTTGAACTTTCGATTATGTCAAAAAGAGTTTCCAATTCTGGAGCTGCCAAAGGATCTACAAAGCGAAAGCATGTTTCGATGTCCATCAAACAAAAAGTGGAATTGCTGCAAAAAATGGATAAAGGCATATCCATCTCAAAATTTTGCAAGGAGTATGACATTATAAAGTCAACTGTATATGGCATAAACAAAAAGAAAAAGGAACAGTCCCCGACTACAAATGCCCCAATCATCAATCAATTAACGGACAGCGAAATCTGAAGTACGGTTCTAGATCCAAAAAATACCATTTCCGATAGCGAAGAAAGTGACAGAAAGCTTATTGAAAATGAAAAAATTTCGATTGACAAGTTAGTCGGTATTCTGACTCAGCAATTACAGGACTTGAACAGTGGAACTTTGTAACTGAACAAGAAATTATGTCTGTTTATAGAATTAAAGAGAAAGTATTAGCACAAAAAATGAAGCAACTTAAACAACTTACATTGAAAGAAATGTTTAATAAAGTAAACAAATAAATATTACGCTTTTTTTTTTTTTTTTTTTTTTTTTTTTTTTGGAAATTTTGATACCTTTTAGATCATAATTGTTCTTTATTTCATAAATTACGGTTTAATATTTTTAATTATATAATTTCTGCATGCCATCTTACCAGATTTAAATTGATTATCTATAATCCGAAAAACCCCTAACCCAGAATCACTGAAGTCCCGACAAGTCCGGATTACGAACTTTGTATTTTATTAATGGTTTCTGTTTCCTATAGATTTCAAAATTTCTGCCCTCTAATATGTGTCCGAATTTCTTAATTGCAGAATAAATTGAGAGTAATTCCCTGTCATATGCAGATCCTGTTGACTTTTATTGAGCTTCATTGAGAAAAATGCTATAGGTTTCCATGCATAAGAGTGCCATCTGTTGCAACGTCTACCCAGATGCTTAGCTGGGCTTCAGAAATAGGGTGTCTCAGAAGAGTAGCCTGAGCAATTGCATTTTTGGCAGAAATTTTAATGCTGAAGATCTGTACATCCATAATACACTATAAAAATTAATCTTTTTTTTTTTTCAGGACCATACATACTACTCCTCAACAGTCAGTGTCTATTGACCCTCTACATTTCTCCCAAAACTTCTCCTTAGGATTACCATATTTATCCGCAGCAACATGGTCGCAAGGCATGCTCCTTATCACTATCACCAAAAATTCACATATTTCAAATAGTGGTTTTATTAAGTAAACTCAGTTTTAATATCATGTTCCTTCCTTTCCTCCCCCTCCAGAATCAGTCTGGAGAGTTTTAAGCTAAGTAATAGATTTTTTGTATAATAATTATCTTGTGTTTTCTTAAATATATGTGCTTTATTATTATTGTTATAACTATTATTTAGGGAAATTTAATACGTCATTATGCCATTCATGATCCTGAAGCCACAGCATCAGAGCGTGAAGTAGCAATGAGGTTAGGTGAGCCTAAGGAACCTGGGGAAGACCAAGATGGAGAAGAAGATGAAGATGATCTTGAATATGTTAAAGAAGATTCAGACAATAGCAAAGATGATCAACAGGTATCAAATTTAAATTTTAAATACAGTACTACTGAATTTTTCATAGCAGGAAACTATCTATAATTATTAGACTATGTATGATTTTCTTGAGCTGTAATATGCCTTTTTTGTGTGTAATCTGAAAATGTATGTTTGACAAGGCAATTAATTTAAATATCTGTTAATGATGTGATTATTTGCTGTTTTCTGGTTTTCCTAACTGAAATCATGAAGTCAACTTCAAAGGAGGCAAACGTTCATTTGGGTATCCTTAGGTTCCTATCGGCAGTCATCTGTTTTTTATGTTTTTCTCATCCCATAGAAGATATGCAAATTTCTGAGAGGTAATAAACCAATTGATAGTTGTGTTTGGTGGTAATCCCAATTCTTCATCACAGAATTTCACTGGCATATGTTCTTTTGTCCATCCAACATAAAGAAAGAAAACTTCTGTCATAAATGAGTCATGGCTGTCTTCTAAATACAGTGTCTAGCATGAATTCCAATGCTTTGCTTGTAACTTTTCCATGTTTCATACTTTCAATTTCCATAAAATTTGGTAACTTCAGAAATACAACTTCATAGAATGGAAATTTGTGCATTCACAATTTTATTGGACAAAATGTCATATTTCTGAAGAAATATAATGTTTTCATTTTCATCAGCCAGCATACTCCACAGTCCCATTATTATTTGCTACAAAAAATATATGTATGTACTTAAACACACGTATGCTGTCTGCATACTTGTGTTACCATATAAATATTTTTGACAACATGGTCTACTTCATCATCAGTGCTATTTTGCGATATTTTGGTGAAGATGTGATTAACAAGAAAGTACTGATTATTTTCATATATGTAGTTAGAAAAGTAAACTTTGGTAATAAATTATAGAATGAGAATGTCTAGAAATGTAAAGTTACCTTTAGTTGCATTTTATGCATATAACAACTAAATTTACAAAAACAATTCCAATGTATTTGCGCAAATTGATCAGTGTACTGGTGTATTAAATAGTGCAACTTTAAATGAATGAAATCAATTGTTACTCATATTGAAAGATACTTGATGTGTATCACTTGATACCTCTTCAAATTTTGAAAAAAAAAAAAAAAAATAGTTTGGCTTCACTGCAGATTTTGAAGAATGGGACAATTGTTGGCCATAATTGTAGCTGTCGCATGACATTTCCAGTGATGATTCCTTTTTGAAAAAAGAGGTCTTATTGTTTACAGCTAATTGACAAATTCACTGGTTTGTTTTTTATCTTCTTCCAACATAGGTGATAGAGGTAATGCTTTTGGTCCCGAAATTCAATAATGAGATTTAAATGAATAAGTGCAAATTAGGATCCTACAGTATGTTTTTACTATTTTTACAATGATGGCTGTCTATATGTAATGATTTTTTGTCTTTAACTTCATTACTAAACATCACTTTCTTCATGCTTACTCTACACAAATTTCAACAGTAAAATTAACAAAATATTTAAAACTCCACATCTTTACAACTCCCAATAATAATATTGCCATTCATTTGTTTTCAAGTCTTTTCTCAGGCAACTCTTTTCCCTTTTTTATCTTTATTAAGCATAACTTCATGCTTATGCCACATAAAATTCATAGCAAAATCACAAAATATTTAAAAATAGTTAGTGTTTGAGATGTGTTAAGTGTTGAAACAGATTATCACATTTTTTTATTCACCAGATTATTCCTTTAAAAAAACACATAGAGATAAATTTGAGTGCCAGTATCCTTTTATTGGAAAAGTGATATGGACACAGAAGATATATGAATAACTAAAATTTTATTAAGTGATATATAATAATTTCTATTAATACTATTTATAAAATCTGTCTTGATTACACTTGTGAAGCCACATATTATATTGTGTAATTTCTTTAAATTTTTTCTTTATTTCATAGGTTGTTGTATTTGAAGTTATCCAGCTTCCTACTGCAAATGGTCTTAATTCTGAAGATCAGACGGTTATGATGATGGATGGGCGTACTCTCATGTTAAATGGAGGAGAACGACAAAGCTATTCGATAATACAACAAGCTGATGATGATGATGGTAGTAATGATTTTTTTAATTTCTCTGAGCCTCTTTCTGACACAGAAGATGTAGAAAATATTTCATCTATTTCATGTAAGTTAACAACTTTGTAAAAATTATTTGTACACACACTAAACATCCAAATTAACTGGAACCATAGTCCATCAAGGTAACTGTGATAATCCTATTTTTTGGAAGGAGGTAACCCCCAATACAAATTTATTGCAATGAATCTTTGGAAATTCCCAACAAAAAACTGGCTTGTTTCTTTCTTTCTTTCTTTTTTTTTTTTTTTTAATTCCATAAAACTGTAACTTTTGAGACATTTAAGTAGCTAAGAATTTGTTGTCATTAAATCTAATGATTGATCTTACTATATTAGCTCTAATAATTGAAGAATTACTGTGTTGATGCTTTACTCTGAATCACAAAATAATAAAACTCAAAGTATAATCTAACACAGAACATTATTAGTCACTATTTGTGATAATGGTAGTTATTAATAAAATAAATTACGTGATTTTTTATCAACTCTGAATTACAGTGCTTTGTTAATAAGCTGTAGTTACAATTTGATTACAGTTACCAAAATCATAACATAAAGCTGACTGTTATATCATAAGTGTCATTCTGATTATTTGCTACCCAAGACTGAATTGCCATTTTTGGATGCATTTTCGAGAATATATGTAACAGCTCATATACCATGCATACATTTTATTTGACATAGCATACATATATTTGTTTGCACACTGATTTACATGCTTGATTTATTTTGCCATCATTTTGCTTGACAGCATCCACCAGCTGAAAAAATCTAAATATCAAGTCTTATTTGTTTTTGGTCTTTCACATAAAATGCTACTTTTTATTATTATCTTTGAGTGAAACTGTACCTATGATTTGTAAAGACAGCCAAAGAAGTACTTCTCATGAAGTCACTCAAAAACAAGTAAATTAATTTTTATCGGTATAAAACAAAGAACATAACTTACATTCAATGGAAAATTGAACTTTATTATTTTAATGGCATAATTAATTTAATTAGCATAATTGATAAAATTAACTGTATAGTATATTTTACCAATTTTTTTCACTTATTTTGCATGGTAAATGTATGATTTTAATCTATAAAGTAGTAGCCTGTTTTGATGTATAACATTGTAAACCCATCATATGCATCTGCAGAAATAAATTTAATAATTTATGGAAAACATATGCACTTATTCTTTATTATTACCTCAGGCTACTCTGTATGCATAAATGATGGAATTATTGTTTTTATTCCAAAATTTCAATAATGATTTTTTAGTGAATAAACAAGAATTAATCTCATAACATATTTTGACTATTTTTACAATGAGGTCTTTGTTTATGTGTATAAAAACTCTTGTATCAAACTTCCAAAATTTTTCAAAAACACAATACAGTTTTTAATAAAAAAAATATGTTGGTATAAATTTTAAAAAAGTAATTTTTACACATGGTCAATTATACCTAATAAAATACTATTCAGAATTTTGTACTGCAGACCTTTCAATGTATTGGAACTACAAACTAGATTTAGTTTTCAAATGATCAAATGTGAGCAATATTGTACTTAAACTTTGTTTTTGTTTGAAACATGGAATTAAAAGAAATTGTACTCTCCACATATCATTTTTGTCTGTATTGAAATAAGAAAAAAGCAAAAAATAAGTAAATGAATTAACAGTCTCAATTCTAATTGAGATAGGCATAAGAATAAGTGATCTAGTGTTCAACTAGTCACACAAAATACACCGAATTTACTTCTGATTCTTATATTCTGTGTGGTGGGAAATAAAAAATTAATTTTGTCTCCGAAAGAAACTTTAGTAGTGGTTTTTAATTAACCATCCCATAATATTAATATCCATTAATATACCCCATAATATTATCAGCATTTTATGTATTTCCTGTACAAAATCTTGTATTTTCCTCATATTTTTTATTTCACAAGCAGTTTAGCCTGTCTTATGTATAGTTTCAATTTATAATGGCTCACACATAGTTTCACTGAAAAAAGTAGGAAAAAAAGCAATTCCTAGGTGAAATAATGTGGTAATCAATAATAATAAATATTGGTACTTGCATGTTATACAACCACCTTAGTAGAAATCTCCAAATATTCATAAGTGGACAAAGATTTAAGAAGCTTTTAAGTTGTAGAGTTTCATGCTTTTTGATAGTATAAACTAAGTCTAGACTCTTGAACAGACATAAAAAAACATATCGATATGTCTAGTTAATCAAGCAGAAACATAGGAAGGGTGTAAAAGATCATTTTATTATGAACACTAATAGTTGAACAGAAGGCAGTCCTGATGCTTACAAAATCAGCCAGTATTTATGGCCTAAACTCAAAAATAGGAAATTCAAATTTAAACTCAATCTGAGTCAACCAAAGGCTACGCAGAATTAATTGACGTGCAAGTTGGCTCAACACTACATTGGTGTCACAGCACTATTGGCAAGATTAGAGCAATGACGCTGATAACAATCCTGTGGTCAAACAATATCACCGTTTTCATGTGTTCATTTTGTTGTATTCCAAGTTCCGATTTTTTTTTTTTTTTTTTTTTTAACAAATCATGATTAAGACACAATAACACGCCGAATAAATACTAATTCAGAAGACAAACAACAAAAATCAGCATTATATTTACAAAATTTCCACAGGACTAGTTTCGATGGTTTTACCGAACCACCATCCTCAGCTGCAAAACCACAAATGAACAAGATAGGAAAAAATGATTAGATAAGATAAGATAGGCCTGGACAAGAATAAGCAAGTGGCGCCATCTGTTGCTGAAACCAGAACTAAAACATAATTTCTTTAAAGGCCGAAGGCAAATTTGGATTGGAATTAGGATCATTAACTAGAACACAAAGATTTTTATGAATGTGAAATGCCTCTAGAAAATCCAGTTCTCCAATGGAAGATGTTTTTGAATAATTTTGGCAGCAGAAAAATTGAAAGTGTGATTTTCGGACCAACAATGTTGCGCAACAGAAGACTTCTGTGTTTCCTTTTTTCTAACATATGCCTCATGTTCCCTGACGCGAAATTTTAAGGCTCTTTTAGTATGGCTAATGTAAATTAAACCACACTGGCAAGGAATCCTATAAATACCCCAGGAATTCATATCCGGAATGGGGTCCTTGAGTATGGAACTCGGAATTTTATTGATGGGAGAATAAACAACCCAAAAGTTAAATTTCTGCAAAATATGTGCAACTTTATAGCTAATTGATGGAAAGAAGGGAATGACAACAGAATTTTTATAATCTCCTAAAACAAGAGTGTGCCTTTTAGTGTGTTGAGATGAGAATTTTTTAACTGCTTGATTAATAATGTTGGGTGAAAAGCCCCTGTCAATAGCTATTGCTTTTAAATAATTTAGTTCTTCATCAAGGGCTAATTTGGAGGAGCAAACTTGAAGAGCACGGAAAACACAGGAATAAAATGAAGCTAACTTTTGTTTAGTCAAGTGACATGATTTAAAGTGTGGTGGAAGGCAAACCAATGAAGGTTTACGGTAAACTGTAGTACTGAAGTTGGATGTGTTACGTGTGACCAGAATGTCGAGAAACGGAAGAGAATTGCAAGTTTTCAAGTTCAAAAGTGAACTGAATAGCAGGATCAATAGAATTCATTGTTGAAAGAACTTTATTTAAATCATCTTTATTACCTTCAAACAGGGTAAAAGTATCGTCTACGTAGCGGAACCATGCCGGGAAGTTTAAAGTTTCAAACAATTTTGATTCATAATAATGCATGTAGATATCAGCCAGGATGGGACTGAGGGGGCTTCCCATGGCTAATCGCTAAGTTTGCTTGTAATATTTATTTTGGAAAACAAAATGTGTTTGTTTCAAACAGAGTTGAGTGAGAGAAATTAGCTCATCAATTTTGATGCAAGAGAAATGAAATTCGCGAAGTCTGGTTTCTAGACATCTTAATGCACCCTCCACCGGGACGTTGGTGAATAATGATTTTACATCAAAAGAAACCATGAGTAAATTACTAGGAGACATGTTTTTAACCTTTTTTACAAACTCTATTGAATTTTTTATGGTGTAAGTGTTCTTGTCTAAGAGAGTGGAAAATCTAGAAACCAAATATTTAGCTAATGGATACGAGACAGTACCTAAATTTGATACAATAGGGCGGAAAGGAATACCACTTTTATGAATTTTGGGAAGAGCATATAATCTGGCACAATTCGCAACAGATGGGATAAGCGAATGTTTTAAATTGCTTGAAATGATTTGCGAAGATTTGATCGCAGTTTTTATTTTTGACAAGTCGGAAGGTGAAGGATCTTTAGGGATCGGATTATATGGTCCTTCGTTTAAGAGTTTAGTGATACCATCAATGTAAGTGTTCTTATCCATGACGACTATCTGGCCACCTTTGTCGGCCTTTGAAATGATAATATCCGGGTTAGAATCATGATGTTTTTTGCCTTCAACTTAATTTTAAAATTTCTGCAAGAATAGAGAATTTTGCCGGAAAATGTCTTAAAAGCGAGGAGATGTGTTTGGTAGATAGCCAATGTTGTTGAGATCTGGGAGATGCTGGGTATCTGCAATTCTTTTCTTCTTTATATATATATATATATATATAAAAGTTAAAATATAAAGTTAAAAATATTTATATATATATATTTTAACTTTATATATATATGTGTGTGTATATATATTAAAGTGAAAACAGATAATTGTATCCTTGGAAGAATAGCATAAGAAAATTACATAAAGATTTGGTAAAGAATGTATTTTATTTTTTAAATATATCATATAATCCTTATTTAATAATTAAAATTTACATTTTAAATTGCTAAGTTAATTTTCTTCCTCCTTCCGTTCATAATGTCTGTTAACTTCCAATAAACATCCATGATTTAGAAGTCATATCAAATAAATTTGCAAAAATTGCTAACTTGCACATGATAAGTAACTTTTATCTTTTCATCTGTAAATAACTGCCAAACTGCACAATATGTTTTATCATTGAAATTGTAAATATTCTACAAAATTTCTCTTGCTTTGCTGAAACACTAATGCTTTCTTCTGAAAAGGCTTCTCTTTCTGTAAATCTTTTTCTCCTTGAAGAGGAAAGAAATATATTATTGTGAATTATACTCTAAATTAGCCATAGCCTCTTATTTCCTCTTTTTTAATTTGGGAACTTCCTCTCTCTATTCTAAAAATAGTAATAACTTTATCGAAACTGCATCATATCTGAAAACTAATACCACATTATGTCATCTTCCATATCGCACATAGTTCTTAGCCAATCATATTAACTAAAAATTTTACGATAAATACTGTTTCAATTCAACTGAAAATTCTCTTTCTCTACTTAACCTAGCTAAAGAATGTGTTTTTCTTGGCTGCTTCTGTCAAAAATGTAATGTGTCATTATCGAAATATTAAGGTGCAGATGGTCTCCATTGTGATGTGCCATTGATGGTCTCCATTGTGATGTATGTTTGGATTATCAAATGATATGTAATTCTTTGAAAGTTCCTGACATCTTGTACTAAGTAACCGACATTTCAGCGCTCTTCTAACTTCAATCCACTAACAACTGAAAAATAATTGGCATTTTCCTTAGCATTAACCCTTTTACAACGGCGCACCTTTGTTTAAGACGCTCGTGCGGGACGGAAGGGAATCGAAGGCAGTCATCGTACAGGACGGAGGTTTTGCATTGCTAAGCCTAATTTTATAAAAAAAATCAGATAAAAAAATGTTTCACTTCTAGCATGGTAATTTTTTATATCATGTTAGATTATTACTTGAGTTCTTATATATGTTAAAATTAGCACTTAATAACGTTTTTTTCTTTCTTTTACATGAAAATATACCTAAAAAATTGCTTATCTTGTAAAATAATTTTCGGAAGCTATTCAAATTATGCCAAAGTTTTAATTGATAAAATCCATCAATAAAGTTTAAAATTAATAAAACAACACAATAAAGACTATTTACAGTAAGAAGTAACAAAATTTAAAGTGAAGACTGAGTGTAGTAAATCTCGAAGCATGGAGAAGTATCACTTTTTAACTCTTAGAAAAAGTATCACTTTCTAACTCTTTAGAAAATTAATCATCATTCTCATCTGCCTTAGTAAATGGTTCATTAACCATACGAGAGTATTCTTCCTCTGATAAATAGCACCTTCCCGTCATAACTAGACTGGAAGTGAGGCTTTCCGAAGTAAAAAGAGAAGAAACGGAAATATATCTGAAGGCAATGCAAAACGTAACAGAACTCCACATAGTAACCGTGAAAGACCTTACATAGTAGAGGAAACAAGTAGAATTAAAAAAAAAAGGAATTGGATATAAACCAGACACGCGAATGTTTATATTCACGCAGTGATTTAAAAAGCCCACTTCTGTTTATGCTTTTTCCCCCTCCCCATGCTCGCAACAGTTGATTAGTAAAATATTAAAGTCAGGCAGAATATATCAAACTCAAGGTCAGGAACCTAAAACTGTGTTCATTTCAAAAGTAATGGATGTAGGATGCCATATGACTAATTCCGTGTTATTCATTTTAACCTTCTGCATTGCATATAGTTACATAGCCAATCAGATTAACTAAAAATTATTTTACTATAAATAGCACTTTACTCCAACTACAGTCTCTCTTTCTCTTTCATCTTTTGCTTGTCTGCTTCTATTAAGTATATACAGTCAAAAGTCTTTAATCCGGACTCGTCGGGACTTCAGCGATTCCGGTTTATCGATTTTTCCGGATTATAGATCATCAATTTAAATCTGGTATGATGGCATGCAGAAATTATAAAATTAAAAATATGAAACCATAATTTATGAAATAAAGAGCAATTATGATCTAAAGGGTATCAAAATTTACAAGAAAAAAGCTTAATAATTATTTGTTTACTTTATTAAACATTTCTTTCAACGCGGGCATGTGTAAAACATACATTACGCATAGTCGAAATTAGAAAATTGCAACCAGAAAACTATTTGATTTGTATTCATGATATTTATAATGACGAGGAATTTGATTTAAGTCATATCAAAGACGGAGTACATCGAGAGGAAATACTACATTATAAGCCAAATAAAATAAAAACATCTGCCCTGAAGATAAGGATAGTGCTGACAGATCAACTTCCAGTTCATTGCGCGCCGCGACTCCCCCCCCCTCCCGCAGAGCAGCATGAAATTGATAAATAGATTTCGGAATGGTTAGAGAAACAAAGGAGCCTTTATCCATTTTTTGCAGCAATTCCACTTTTTGTTTGATGCACATCGAAACATGCTTTCCCTTTGTAGATCCAGCATCGGAAATTCTATTTGACATAATCGAAAGTTCCAACTTACCTTTATAAAATTGCTCTTAATGGTCTGCAAAAATTAACTACTTTTGACTGTATTGGGTCATCATGAAAATTATAGGATGTAGATGGTCTCATGCGCAGAAAGTTTGTAGCTTTGAGGTCCGGATTAACGACTTTTGACTGTATTGGGTCATCATGAAAATTATAGGATGTAGATGGTCTCCATTGTGATGTGCCATGCCATAGAATATTCAGCAAATAGTAAAGGTATCTTTGGATTATCAAATGATTCGTAATTCTTCAAATGTTCCTGCCATCTTTTACTACATAATTGACATTTTAGTATTCTAACTTCAAGCTTGTCGCAACTAAAAAAATTGGTGGTTTCTGCAGTTAAGCTCTCACCTAATATCAAAGAAATTGCAACGACTACTTATTTCATAGATATTCATAAATACTAACAATTCATTATTGGTAATTATAAATTAGATTGAAAGTTATAAATAATTGCATAATTAAAAAAAGAGTGCTTCAGAACTTTTCATGATTTGCCAAAAATATCACTCAACCCATACTTGGGAATCATTGATATAAATTATTAAGTTTATTTGTAATATTTGGCCTCTGTGATATTTTATTTTTGTTCTTTTCATTGATATTGTAAAAGAATGAATTTTAAGTGAATAGTTTTTTTTTATATTTATTTCTAAATTAAATGTTTGGTATTTTTCAGCTAAAAGCAATCCAAATTCAGAAGGTAGTTTCCGTAGCAAAGTTATAAGTCGTGGAAGGAAATCACGACAATTCGATAATAGCGGTTACAGCAATAAAATATGTGTGCGGGCCAGCTCAAACAAAAGCAAAGTGTCAAATTCTCGAAAATCTCACATTTTAAGAGGTTAGTATCTTCATATCTTTTTAGATACTTTATCATAAATTACAAAAAGGTTGTAAATAATCCTGTAATCATGCTGAAAGTATTATTTAGCATTTTTAGTTAATGATTTATTTTCTGTAAAACAGATTTGGCAATAATGCAGTCTTTTTAAAGTAAAACTATGGCATGTTCTCCATCCCTGAAATTATATCGACGGGAAAGTTGTAGAAGATTGTAAGGAATATTAATGAATATGTTGATTGGAAAAAGATTCTTATATAAATACTTGTTCAGTAATAAGACTTATTAGTATCCGTGTATTCTTCTTCTTTATAAAATGTTATAAAGTTATAAAAAAATAAATTCTCTCAATTATTGTCTAGGGCTATCATGACTATTTAATCTTGAATATTTCTGAGGATTTCTTTTGTCTCCTGAGATTTCAAGTGGATCGTAAAAAAATTCATTTTCAATTCAGTTAATTCATTGTTTTCTTCCTAACATATCATTGCACTGTGATATATTTAAAACAAGATAGCCAAATTTATTCCAGAATGGAAAAACAGTTGGAAGAAATAAACTGCTTAATTTTTTATATCTCTTGTATTCATATATAACACTGTTGTATAACTAATTTAAATATTTTCTTTTTCTATATAGTTTAATTAGCCTCATTTATATGCTTGCAATATCATTTTCTGTTATATATTTGTATATGTTACCAATATGTACACTCTTAGACAAAAAAAAAAAAAAAAAAAAAAAAAAAACACAGAAGATTTAAAGCAAATTGGGCACAAATTGATATGCATACAGATTTCGACGGAAAATGCAAAATTTTACATTTTGGCTGCCAGTGAATGAATGGTTGTTGCTATATTGCATCTGATCTGCGCAACTGGCAAGATATTTAAGAGGAGAAATTATGATTCCAGGTTATAAATTCTTCACAAATTTCATTCCTTGTACTCTGGTAGATAATAACTATGCCTGGCATACATGTGTGTGAACGATATGCACAGATGTCAGAATTTGAGAGAGCTCGTGTAGTTGGGCTCGAAGCTGGTTGGTCTTATCGGTGAATAGCTCGACATTTGAGCTGGAGCGATGCCACTATTAGACGATGTTGGCAGGAAGGGGTGAACCATGGCCACACACAGCATCAAGAAGGAAGCGGTAGGCCTAGAGAAATGACAGAACGTAAAGACTGAGCAATCGTCAGAACGGCACTCATAGCCCCAGATGCATCACTATCATCGGTTGTACTTGCAACTAGTGCTTCAGTGACCGCAAGGACCATCCATAGACGGCTTCACAGAAAGAGGTTGAAGTCACAACGCCCCTTGCGCAGACTACCATTGATGAGCATTATGGGCAGTGCCCTCCAACCAGCTTGGGATGTTGACAATCTAAAGTGCCAGTTGGACAGAATTTGGCATGGTATCCCTCAGGAGGACATCCACAACCTCTATCAATCGATGCCAAGCCGAATAACTGCTTGCATAAGGGCGAGAGGTGGACAAACGCGTTGCTGACTTTTTCTCTTCGTAAAGCTCTGTCACTTCAATAAATTATCCATTTTTTCAAACTCTAATCATTTGTTTTTCTGTACATGTACATCACTTCTACCAATTTTCTTCCCATTCGGATAACTCCTTCTTGGTGCATCGTTCCCCCCCCCCTTCTAAGAGTGTACTTCTGGGTTCATACAGTCCTTAAAAGTCCTTAACTTTGACCAAAATCAGCAGCAGGTCCTTAATTTTAATCATCTAAAATTTCTGTCTGTTTTTTTTACGACTGCCATTCTGAGTGTGAATTAGCATTTTGAGAAAATATTGTTGGCGATTCACTGATAAATATTATTATCTTTTGAATGGGTTCATGGATTATGATTTGTTTCTATTTCTAATTATAGGCAGTGGGATACACGAATTTCTGGGCAACAAGTGAAGAAGCATTTCGTAATTATTTCATTTTTTCTAATGAAGAACGCTTAAACAGCTTTCTGCTTTTGGGGATGTGAATTATTGTATTAAATGGTTCTAAATTTGGGGATTTATCAACATTTTGAGGATTTTAAGATCAGTTTGTATAGAAAATTTCTGATTTGGAGATCGAATGTTTCGATTATTTTTTAAAACATTAACATTGATAAATTTCATTAAAATTATGGTAATATACTGAAATTATAAATAAGAAATAACATTAAAATAAAATATTTTTATTTTTTGCTGTCATATTATTAAGTGACATTACTTTCCATTTTGGCGACTTATACAATATTTTGAATCTGAAAAATAAACAAGGTAATAAATACTGTAAAGCACAATTTATGAAACATTTCTTAGAAAAAGCAAAATAACTATGTAATTAATTAAAAATGTCTCCTTTTTAATTTCCTCACGGTAAGAGTTTTTCCGATGAATATTTATAGTTCTCAGAATATGCATCAGTTTTCTCTATAAAATTAATTTTATTCTTTTGTCCTGTTATTTTTTAAATTTAATGTTTTTTCCCAAAAAAAAATATTTCAGGCTTTTTGCTGTTAAAGAATTGGTAGGGGTTATTTTTCTTTAGGATTTTAGATTTGCAAACTTGGAAAGAAATTTGAAGGTAAGATTTATAGACCCATGATTCTAAAAGATTCTAGAAAAGTGTGACAAAATGAAGAATATCTTCATGATATTAACAGGTAAGGGATGTATTTTATAGAATGTTCATGGTGAATTTCTTACTTTTAGGAGAATTTTTGTAAGAACAATGAAAACATAACATTTGAATGTTTTACTTCTGATTCACAGAAAAGTTGATATACTGGGGGGCAAGAACGCTATTTAGGCAATGACTTCGGTCTTTTTGTTCTTAGTTCTATTGTTTTTTAACCTCTGTTTATAAGATTTTAGATCGTTGTAATTTTTTTTGGCTAGCCATTGAAAATTTAGAAGTCTTTTCCTTAACATGTTTACCTTCCCTTTATTTTTTCTACTTTCCACTAGACACAGGCATGAAAAATATCAAAAATGCTTCTAATCTTATCATATGGAAAGGCATTTATAGAAAGTAATTTTTCTATTAATAAAGGAATTAAAAACTGACAATTTAAATGATTCATCTTACACGTCTCATTTTTCTATTAATAAAGGAATTAAAAACTGACAATTTAAATGATTCATCTTATATGTCTCATTGCATCATACAAGGTGTTAGACATCAGTGAATCATACAAGGTGCTAAGCATTTTCCCACCTGAATGGATGCAATTCTGCTGCTTAGTGCCTTCCTAAATTCTGCTCCCAGCGCCTGTCCTTAATTCCAAAAGTTTTGCCATTTCTAGATTTTGTTGTATTGCGGGTCACTAAATTCTAAAAACTGTGCCACATCGCCTCTATAGCCAGCTCTTACCATTTATCATTTCATATTTATTCTGAATATTCATATTACAAAAGAAATAAAATTGGCAGCTTTTTCTATGCATTCTAAATGTATTTAGTTTTTTTTAGAATAACAGAAATCTTTATTAAACCAAAAAATTCTAAATGAAAAGGAAACTTGTTGAAAAAAGAAACTGAATACTAAAAGAGAAAGAAAATTATTCTTCAAAGATATGTACAGTTAGTATTATGTAAATTACCCAGTTGTTTGTAATTTCAGCCTTTACTATAATTTCCCATTTCCTCACCAGAAGGCAAATCGCTTAGATAATTTTTGAGGTTTTCGGAGTGTAAGAGAGTGTTTCTAACCTCTACTTGCACCCTGCATTAGTTCCTGCCAGCTCTGATAATTTGTAATTATTCGTCTTTGCATTATCAGTGCCGACATCTGAATTTCTTATGACGTTAGAGTTACTGAGCCAGCTTAAATTAAAATTAAATTATATAGTCTTTGACAACTAGTCCATATTTTTAGTTTGAATTTGACTGTTCTTGCTTAATTACGTCACCTCCAGCCATAGTTGATTTTTTTTTTACCATACGAATATTCCTTTATGTTCTATGTTCCTTTTAATAAGAGGTTTATTTAAATCTAATGTGCAACATTTATACGAAACAGTTTCCCTTAAAAAAATCCTTCAGGAAGCATCCCTTCCCTTAGGCAGATAGCCCAAAGAATATCTAAGGAGAAGAAGTAAAGTTTCCCCAAGGCAAATGTGGCTCCATCTGACCGAAGGGACATATTATGTATATCCCTGAAGCTTATCTTAAAAGCGCAATCCATCCACCCTCCGTACCTCAATGCGCATGTGCGAAATAACATCAGAAGGCAACAAAACAGCATGCCGTCGGCCATATTAGCAATCTTTTACTGCGTTGTTCGAAAAGGTTCTTTGTTGTTGTAGTCGAGGTACGTGGTTCTAGCTATGTGAAATGCTTTAAAAGACTTTTTAAATGTAATGATGTAGGTGAAATGGTTTTGGCTGTTGGATGCAAACTTTGCTTTTGGTTTTCATAATGGTCATTCCAAATAATTGTCTAAAAGATTTCATGGTAAATTTTCTTTTAAGTTGTTGCTGGATAATTATAATGTATTTCAGTGTTTTCAATTTATTTAGGGGTGCTTTTATTTGTCTTTAATTATTTTTTCTGTTTCAGTTAGTTATATGGAAATTTTGCTTTTAAAATTTCACTGTAAAATTTTAACTATGGATTCATAAAAATTTATTACGTATTGTATGACATGTGTTTCCACTCCCTCCCCTTTTTTAAGTTTACAGATGTACTCATTTGTTGAATAATTTTGGAGTAAATAGATTTTTTGCAAAATTAAAATTATGAAAAATCCAAGCATGCAGCAATTTTACAATTATTCTTTATTATTTGTATAGCGAAGGTGGAAAATAGACATTTTTGTAATTTTTATTTTAAAAAAATTTATTCCTAATTTTATAATTTGAAATAATTTTTTGTCGTAATGGCTACAATATTTGTTTGATATAACAATATTTATTTGATTCAGTAAATTATTTACAAAATTTCTTCCCAGGTTTTAATAATACCTATAGGTTTGATTTTCAAGTTAAGTATTTAATCTTATATTAATAAATGTAAGAAGTATTGAATATTTTACGAAAAAAAAATGAAATTAGTTATTTTAATAATTTATGTGAAATTCTTTAAAAGCCCTTTTAAGTGTAATTTTGTATTTGTTAATTTAAGTGATATGCTTTTGGCTCTTGGCTGCAAACATTGTTCATGGTTTTCATAATGGTCATTCCAAATAATTGTCTAAAAAATTCCTTGGTATTTGTGAAGATGCTTAAAATTATTTTACATACGTATATTCTGAAACTTGTAAAATGTCAATAAATATCATTGCTTTACTTAAAATGTGTTATTCTTTATTTTAATATTTAATAATATGCTTGATATGAAAAGAATTATAAATTAGCATTATTTATGTAATTAATTGCAGATTTATTAGAAATTTAACATCACAGCCATAGTAATTTTGTTTTCTATTCATTCTGATGTTAGTTATAAATTAATGCTGGATATTATATCAAATGAAAAACAATTATGTGGATTTACAGAAAGAAGAGTTAAGAGGAAAAAATAAGGCATATAAAAATAGTAAAATTTATTCTTCTTTTTTTTTTTTTTTTTTTTTTTTAAATTCATATTGCAATTGAACTTTAGGATGTTCCATGCAAAACAATTAAAGATAAGAACATAAAAGATCAACTTCACAATTTATCTAAAACAAAAGTCTCTGAATCCTGTTAAATATTAAAAAATTTATTTCATTTAAATTTTGTCTTTGTATGGCTCGCTGTTTAAATTGAAAGTAAAAATTGGACAGGATTTCTATAATTCGCCCAAAATTCCAACTAACATCATTTTGCTCATAAAACTCCAGAAATGTATGAAAATAAAACATTTTGAGTTATTTCAAGATAAAAAAATTTACTATACCCTCGAACTGTGCTATTTAAATTCCACCCTGCGCTGGTGTTTTACTGCATAGCCTTGGCTCTTCGGTACAGCGGCGCAGAGGCGAAACAGGTTTACATTGCGTCTATGGAAGCTTTCATTCTTCTCCTGGTGTTGTGTTGTGTATTTAATTATGGCAAAGCACACGAGGGCTATCTGCCTAAAGGGAGGGATGCCTTTCGTGGAGGACTTTCTAAGGGAAACTGGCTCGTATAAACGTTACACATGGGGAAAACCATGAAAACGCCCATGCAGCCAGCCCGTTCGCGGGATTCGAACCTCAGACCGAACTACCAGTGTTCAGCGTCTTTACCGCTCAGCCGCTGGTGGGCCATTCTTCTCCTTAGAGATTCTCTGGATAACCGTTGAAGCTTTGCCGTAATAACATAAACCAAATTGAACCATTATATGACTTTACTTTCAGACACAGTAATAATTTGCTTCATGTCTGTCAGGGGTTTGGAGCTATTTACCTTTTACCAGATCAAGTAAAACCTCATTGGTACATTGTTGACAAGTTAGGAGACGAAGCACACAGAAACTGTTTGTTGGGAACGTTGGTTTGTGTATTGAAACAAATTTCCAATTATTAGAAAAGATGCTTAAAGAGGAGGAGATTGATATAAATTAGCCAAAATGGCAAGCTTCATATTAAAAAGACGAATAAGTATTTTGTCGTGTGTTGTTGCTATTAAACATTCCTAGTATTGTTTAAGAATCAATATCAAACTACATGTATTTTTGAACTGTGAAATGTTATTAGATTCTTATTTTAATAGTGGCCATGTAAATCTATACTAACACCTGTGTGTCGAACTACCTAATTTAATTATTTGTAACTAACTGCTCAACCTTAAGTCATCTTTGCATGTTAAAATGAGTTATTGTTTGAACAACTCTTTGCTTTGGGAGATATGAATTCTTTTATTAAATGTTTCTAAATTTGGTGATTTTAAGATCACTTTCTATAGAAAATTTTTAATTCCGAGATCTGGGAATTTTTCGACGATTTCATTTATCCTTACTGTGGTCACAAGATATAGCACAAGAATGTAAAATTAATGTAAAACTTATTTTTTGCATCTAGTGAGACTTAAAATCATACAAAACAACTTACTACCTCTGGTGCTTTAGTTTATTATTGGAACCTTAAACTATATTAACTGGGTTACAACCCCAGGAACTCTACACAAAGCTACAACACTAACTATGTCAGACAGAGCACAACTAATTTTCAAAATTTGCCAACTGTGCCTACATCGGGCTTTCAGATTTGTTCAGTAGGTCTCTCTCTAGACTGTAAGCAGCAATGGTGACAACAGCCTGTCTTCTTTTATGATTCATGCTGATTATGATTTTGCTGCTCATTTTAACTTATGCCATTTGATGTAAAATCTACCTGCTATTTACTAAACCTCTAGACTGAACAAGTACATGACAAAATGAGACATAAAAGAAAAAAATCAACATAAAGCTAACTGTTAGTAAGACGTAAATAAAATCTCACTAATCTTCTTTCAAATATGTCCAAGTTATTACAAGTGTAAAATATTTAATGCTACTTGATAAATTTTTTTAAGTTGATTTTGTTCTCAAATTTGTTTTATAATTAATTATGCTTAATAATAATGTGTCATACTTATGGATCTATTTTATTCTTAGGATGGTAATACAAAAATAAAGTTCAGGCATAGATAATATCTTTAATTGAGTTTATTCAGTTACCATTTGCTGATAGGTCCTTAATTTTTTCATTAATGGTCCTTAAAAGTACTTAATTTTCATGTGCAGAAATGTGCACGAACCCTGTACTTTTATATACTTGCTTTGAGATTTGCTTTCACATCTGTGAATTTAGATAAACTCTGAAACTGAATTTTGAGCTTTTGTAAGCTTATATATATTGTAATTAGCTTTTATTTAGTTAACTTGTGGTGTCAAAAGGTGCTGTGTTTGGAAGTTAGTCTCTGATTTTTAACCTACTTCCCGATAAGCCATCAAGTTCAGTTGTTATTTAATGTGTAATGTTCTTCGGTATTTTGCCTATGATACAATGTCGAGGAACCTAGTGAACTAAATAGTGAATTATCACCAAGAATTTACAATGTAGACTCAAGAAGGGTTACACTACCCTTTTATTTACTCAAAGAAATAATAACAGATGTCCCCTGGTTGGACTTACAGGAAAGCCACCACTTGGGCTTTTAAGTCAGGATAAAAAAATAAGAAACTAATCTAATACTAAACTTATAAGGTATTTCTCCCGCCTTCGTGGTGTAGTGGTTCTGCACGCTGGGCCGTTATTCCAGAGGTCCATGGTTCGATTTCCGGCGAAGGCATTGCTAATTTTTTCAGTCTCTCTTGCTTCCAAATAAGCTAATGTCTCTACAGTGGTGCCTGAACTAAAAGGGTGGGGAATGATAATTCTCCCCCATCCAGGATTTGGTGATTGGGTCCCCTGAAAACTCCAGTCGCCCTTTAAAAGGGGGAGTATATAAGGTATTTCTCCCGCCTTTGTAGCATGCCTTCGTGGTGTAGTGGTTCAGCACGCTGGTCCGTGGTTCCATTTCCGGCGAAGACGTTGCTAATCTTTCAGTCTCTTGTGCTTCCAAATAACCTAATGTCTCTAGAAGCTAAATAGATGTAGCTGAAGCTAGACACAAATACCTAATGTAGTTGGCCATTAAATTAACTTAGCTGGCAATTATCAACAGGCACGTACGGTACAGCTGAGAATAGTAGATTCAAGAACAAAGTAGAAGGCAAACACACGCAATTAGGGACTCTTAACACACTCTCTCGGAGTAAGTTGAACTTCCCTTAAGTGCTCCAACTCGTTTGAAGTCATTAGGTGTTGAAAAGTCTGTGTTTTACTGTTTGACAGTCTGCAAAGAAGTGATGCCCAGGTCAATCAAATATTTTTTTAATGACTGAGCAAATGAAAATCCAAAGGATCAGGGTTTGTAGAATATGAGGTGGATGTTTTTCTACAAAATTAAAAATTTATTTTTGTGTAATTTAAAAACCTAAGTTGGCATGCTTTTTTCCCCCTCCAATTTATTCCATATTTACGGGAATAAATAATTTTTTGTGAAGATCTTTTGTATTATCAAAAGTATTTTTCTTTTTCAATTTGATTTCAGTTGTTCCTGATAAAACAGTATCTAACAGTGAAAGTCCTAATGTGCTGAGTTTCCCAGAAGAAGATGCGATATTACAGAGAGAAAAGAATTTAGAACATTCTAGAGAACTAGAAACGCAAAAAGATTTTGAGGAATACTTTGGCTTTAATGTGAGTAATTTTATTGTTACAATGTCACCTTTAACATTTTACCACATTGTAAATTAAAGATGCAGAAAGCTTTTGGGGGGGGACGAGATTTATTTGTAATTTTATCACAAGTTGGGGGGAAGGGAAAGCAGGGTTTGTACGGTTCTTGAAAGTCCTTAGGTATTTTGGAATTGAATTTTGGTCCTTAATCTCAGCCAAAATCGGCAGAAGGTCCTTAATTTTAATCATCTGAAATTTCTGTCTGTTTTTACAACTGCCATTTTGAGTGTGAATGAGTATTTTGGAGGAATATTTTTGGCGATTCACTGACATATGTGGTTATCCTTTTGAATGGATTCATTGGGTTATAATTTGTTCCTATTTCTAGTATAAATGGTGGGATACTCGAGTTTCTGAGCAAGAAACATAAGCATTATGAAATTATTTCATTTTTTCTAATGAAGAACTCTTAAACAATTCTGCTTTTGGAGATGTGAATTCTTTTATTAAATGGTTCTAAATTTGGCGATTTTAAGATCACTTTCTATAGAAAATTTTTAATTCCGAGATCTGGGAATTTTTCGACGATTTTTTTCAAAACATTTTAACAAAGATAAATTTCATTAATATTTTGAAATTATATTTAAAAAATGACATTAAAATAAAACGTTTTTATTTTTCGGTGTCATATTATAAAGTTTCATTTTGGCAGTTTATACAATATTTTGAATCTGAAAAATAAACAAGGTATAGTGCTATAAAGCACAATTTACAAAACAATTCTTAAACAAAAGCAAAATTAGTTATACAGTCAAAATACCAAAAATCCACCGACCTGAAATCCGTGTTGCCTCTCAAAATATAAACATTCAGTTTATTGGTTCCGGAAATCGCATGAGTACGAAATATCGAAGAAAAAATATTTACCTAATAATAAGTTAGAACGGAAATGGCAAATTATTGACATTATGATAAAAGTTTTTCCCCTCTAATCTGCATCGAGGTAAAAAAGCCAACAATTCACTCTTCTTTCAAGTTCACGATTCACGTTGTTGTATTTTCTGAACTTTGTTATTTAACAAGATTATTTAGTGCTGCCTTTTTTTTTTTTTTTTTTTGTCCAGATATTTTTTGGATAAATTAAGAATATTTTAAATTTCAAAATTTCAGCCCTTTTTTAATGCAATTACAGATAAGAAACTCGCTCATAATTTTATTGCTTGCACGTTGAAAAATGTAAACACGTTGCATTGATAGTAATGCAAAAAGTGCAAATTCTGCAAAAGATGAATCTGAGACAGGTGCTATTCCTCGGTTTATAGCAGAATCGTATGGAATTGCGACACAATTGTGTATGATATACAGAAAAATAAAAAAAAGCTGTTGAAATTTTACAGCAAGAGTGATTCTAACACCGGAATCCGAAACCAGAAATCTTTGCATGAGACAAAATCGGCAAACCTCGATGCTGTGTATATATAATACAAGGAATAATATAATCAATTTATATATGTAGTAATAATTTAATGCATATAATAAGTTATTGTAATAATGTATATAATAATTTAATTAAATGTATCTAATACACCTTATTTATTTTGCACTTTTAGTCTGAAAATTATGATTTATCTTTGCTGTCCTGAAATCTGCAAAATCCTAAAATCTGCTTAACCTCTGGTCCCAAGCTTTGCAGATTTCTGGACTTCTACTGTATAATTAATTAAAAATGTCTTTTTAATTTTTTTTCATAGTTAAGAATTTTTCCCATGTAATTGTCTCAGAACATACATCAGTTTTCTCTATAAAATTAATTTTACACTTTTCCCCTTTCTTTTAACAAAATATTTCCGGCTTTTTTGCGATTACAGAATCTTTGGGGATAATTTTTCTTTAGGATTTTAGGCACTGCATCTTGGAAAGTTTAGATAGATTTGAAAGCATCCAGAAATGGGTGACAAAATGAAAAATGTCTCCATTGGACGTATTTTATGGAAAGTTTGCGATGAATTTCTTACTTTTTGAAGAACGTTTGGAAGAACAATGGAAACATAATATTCGAATGCTTTACTTCTGATACTACAATCTTTTTCTTAACATGTTAATCTTCACTTTATTTTCTCTACTTTTCACTAGATGCAAGCATGGAAAATATCAAAAATGTTTGTAATCTTATCACATGGACAGGTGTTAAAGTAAGGATTTTTTTTTTTATTAATATAGAAATTGAAAATAGACAATTTAGAAGATTCATCTAATATGCCTTAATGCATCATACACAGGCATTTTCCTACCTGATGCAATCTCTGTAAATCTTAAATTCTGTTTCCTAGTGCCTTTCTAAATTCTGCTTCCAATGCCTGCTCTAAATTCTAAAAGTATTGACATTTCTAGATTTTGTTGCTCGATGTGTCACTAAATTCTAAAAATTCTGCCACACCAGCTCTATAACTGGCCTTTACCATATATATTTCATATTTCTTCTAAATGTTCATATTACTAAAGAAATAAAATTAGTAGCTTTTTTTCTATGCATTTTAAATGCATTTAGGGTTTTTTAGAGTAACAAAAAACCTTAATTCAATCCAAAAATTCTAAAAGGAAAAGGAAATGTGTGAAAGAAAGAAACTGAATACATAAAGAAAATTATTCTTCAAAGATATGTTGTTATGTAAATTACCCAGTTATACATATTATTATGTAAATTACCCAGTTGTTTATGATTTCAGTTTTCTATAATTTCCCTTTTCTATTTCCTCATATGATAAGAGTTACTGAGCCAGCTTAAATTAAAATTAAATTATATATGCTCTGGTAACCAGTCCACATTTTTAGTTTGAATTTGACTATTCTTGATTAATTACATCTCACCATGAGATGTAATTGATTTGGTTAGCATCAGAACATGCCTTTATGTTCTAAGTTCTTTTTAAATTAGAGGCTTATTTAAGCCTTTGTCTGACATTGTAGCTACTTTCAGACGTGATAATTTGCTTCACGTCTGTTGGGAGGTTTGGGGCTATTTAACATTTACCAGATCAAGTAAACCCTCATAGCTACATTGTGGAGAGGTTCACAAGTTAGGAGATAAAGCATGCAGAAACTAGTGAGAACATTGGTTTGTATATTGAAACAAATTTCTGATTGTTAGAGAAGATGCTTAAAGAGAAGGAAATTGATTTAATTTAGCCAAAATGTCTGGGAAGGTTCAAATTAAAAAGATGAAACCGAATTTTACAAAACCAAAATTTTTGTAACAACATTAAAAGCTACAAAACATCTTTATCCTAATATCTTTTATATGCTTTAATGTGTAATTATCCTATATTGTTTATATAGTTTATCCTAATATTTAATATAAGAATCAATGTCATAAATTACATGTATTTTAAACTGTCAAATTTTGTTAGGTTGTTATTTTAATAGGGCTTTTTTTAAAAAATAAATAAATTTTAATAGTTGCCATGTAAATTCATAGTAACTAATTTTATCTAACTACCTAATTTAATTATTTATAACTAACTGCTTACCCTTAAAAATTATGTCTGCATATTAAAGCGAGTTACAGTCAAAAGTCGTTAATCCGGACTCGTCGGGACTTCGGCGATTCCGGATTATAGATCATCAGTTTAAATCTCGTAAGATGGCATGCAGAAATTCTAAAATTAAAAATATGAAACCATTTATGAAATAAAGAACAATTATGATCTAAAGGGTATCAAAATTTACAAAAAGAAAAAGCTTAATATTTATTTGTTTACTTTATTAAACATTTCTTTCAATGTAAGTTGTTTAAGTTGCTTCATTTTATGTGATAATACTTTCTCCTTAATTCTATAAACAGACATAATTTCTTGTTCAGTTACAAAGTTCCGCTGTTCAAGTCCCGTTAATAGCTGTGCCGAGAATACCGACTAACTTGTCAATCGAAATTTTTTTGTTTTCATTAACCTCTCTGTCACATTCTTCATGTCTTTATCCATTTTTTGGAGCAATTCCACTTTTTATTTGTTGGACATCGAAACATACTTTCGTTTTGTAGATCCTTTGGAAGTTCCAGCATCGGAAATTCTATTTCACATAATCGACTTTTATAAAATTGCTCTTACAGTCTGCAAAAAATAATAAGCGGGATCAATTCGAAGATTAAGAAACAACGCAATCATTAACTGAAATAGATAATTAGATAATTTTAGCTTACACCATCTGTTATACATTAAACGCGCAGGCAAAAACATATTCTGCACTTGCGCGCACGCATATGCGCAGTAGTCAAGGTCTTACGTGCACGCGTAAAACGCCTGTGCGCATGTGCCATACGCGGCACATGCGCAGAAAGTTTTTAGCTTTGAGGTCCGGATTATGGGTGTCCGAATTAACGACTTTTGACTGTATTGCCTTTCATTAATCCTTACCGTGATCACAAGGTGAAACACAAAAATGTAAAAGTTCATGTAAAACTTATTCTTTGCATCTAGTGAGAGCTAAAATAATACAAAACAACTTATCTGTGATGCTTTAGTGGAACCTTAAAGTATATTAACTGGGTTACAATCCTTGATCTCTACAAGAAGCTGTCGCACTAATTGCATCACACAAAGACCAACCAACTTTCAAAACTTGCCAACCGTGCCCGCATCAGGCCTTTAAAGTTTGTTCTAATCAGGAGGTCTATGCAATCTCTAGGCAAGCAGCACTGGTGACAACATCCAATCTTTTGTTATGAATCATGCTGATTATGATTTTGACTTAGTTTGCCAATATTGCAAACTAAATGTGATGGCTGCTTTAACAATTAAGCACTGGAAATATACAAAGTAGCATGATTTATGAAATTCCAAGCCTTTGTTATTAATAACTTTTACTGGTTTATTCTTCTTCCATATATATAAACTGTATGTATACTATTTATTTCTAAGCAGTCTTTCACTGAATACTAAGCTTCTTAATGATTCATAATGTCTCATTTATTAAATGTTTAGCATGAAATGTGTATTCTTAGGTAGTATTTGAAAAATAGCAGC